CTTCTGAACCTGTGCTCCTTCCTCCAAACGTCAAATCCAACGCTTATGATGACGACGATGATGGTAGAAGGGCATCTTCCAAATCCTCTTCTTCAGCAGCAAGGAACAAAGGCAATAATAGTTATAGTGACTCAGAAGACTTTGATAGCATGTCAATGCAAGAATTGGAGAGTTACGCTGTGACTAAGTCTGAGGACACTACAAAGTCTATAAACAACTGCCTGAAGATTGCTGAGGATATTAGATAGGATGCTACAAGGACCCTTGACACCGGTGGTGAGAAGCCATAGATCTAGTTGTGACCATCCACCTTTACAGGTGGTAGGAGGGGGTTATGAGGAGAGGGTCTCCGGCGACAATGAGCATAATTGGCACGCCGAACAAAACCTTCCCACAGATGGCGCCAACTGATGATACAGCAGTTTACAGATAGAACGGGTCGGGCTGATCCACGCTTCCCAAACCGGTGCCCAAGTGATCAAGCCCACTAGAAGACCTGCACACGAGTTCAACGGGGAGCGGGGAGTCCCAGAGTGAACCCTCCGACGAGCAAGTTAGAGAGAAAAACGGAATGTAGAGATAAATTAGAGATAGAAAAGCTTAACATTCTTCTTGTCTTCGACGTCTTCTTATATCCTCTGGTAATTATTTCGTTGTCCCTTCTGACCTGTCACCTTGGCCGAAAGTCTACGCTCTTGCTTACCTTGTTCATGGTGAAGGCGTTCTGTCCCGACGGAGAGGGGTTATCGCAATAAATGCTGTAAGGGGCCTCATTAATGGCGATGTGCAATGACAATAACTTTGCAGATATTTGTCTGCGTATGTGGCTTGCCCTTCTCCTGCCATGTGTCTTGATGTCATTGGTTCTCATTGCTACTTGGGGCTTCAGCAATGTTGGATTTTAGTATTCGGGTTATGTATTGGGCCTTAAATAGTGAAGTATAATCTTTATGGGCCTACCCATGTCAGTGTGATTTATCTAAATAATATTTTATAATATACAAATTGAATTAAATTAAATTAACAAACTAATAAACAATTTCTTTTTTGTTATTGTTTTTGTTTGGGGTGTGAAACTCTCAGAAGCAGAAAGAGGAGGGGAAGATAGCGCCAACGATCTAGAAATGTCGTGAAAAAGTGGAGTGTGGCGGTTGAGGTTGAAAAAGGGTCTACCTGGTTTTTCGTTTCTCCTATCATCTCATTTTGATCTGTTCAAAACACACTCTCTCTCCTCCTTTCAATTTGGGTTTCTTTCTATTTCTTTCTAGGTAGGAGAGAAAAAATTTACTTCTCCTACTCCTCAATCTCCCAATTCACGATCATTTCAAGGTTTACTCGGCAAACCCCTTTTGTCTAATCTTCAAATATTTGTTCTTTTTTCTTCTCAGGTACTCTCATCTTCTGTCTTTAATTCGTTTCTTTATATTTTTCTTTTTATTTCATTTCTGAGTTTATGGGTCTTGACTGTAATCATTTGCTTTTTCCATTGGTTTCTTTACTTTCAACAATATATAAGGTTAATTTCACTTTCATATCTACATTATTGTTATTTTTTATATTTTTTTTCCTTAACTATTAATTTCATCTATATAAGCTTTACAAATATTTTTAAGGAAATCCAATCTAATGGGTAAAAAGTTGTTCTATGATTTAAACAATTTAAATCACTCAATTATACATCCACCTTTTTTTACTCCTACTGCAAAAATGGGGTATTTTAATTATTTTTGACATTTAAAAAAAAAAGTTTTTTCTTTTTGAATATTTAAATTATTATAATTATCTTCAGCAATGCTGGGCTTTAGTATTTGGGTTATATATTGGGCCTTAAATGGTGCGGTATAATCTTTATGGGCCTACCCATGACAGTGTGATTTATCTAAATAATATTTTATAATATACAAATTGAATTAAATTAAATTAACAAACTAATAAACAATTTCTTTTTTATTATTATTTTTGTTTGGGGTGTGAAACTCTCAGAAGCAGAAAGAGGAGGGGAAGATAGCGCCAACGGTCTAGAAATGTCGTGAAAAAGTGGAGTGTGGCGGTTGAGGTTGAAGAAGGGTCTACCTGGTTTTTCGTTTCTCCTATCATCTCATTTTGATCTGTTCAAAACGCTCTCTCTCCTCCTTTCAATTTGGGTTTCTTTCTATTTCTTTCTGGGTAGGAGAGAAAAAATTTACTTCTCCTACTCCTCATTCTCCCAATTCACGATCATTTCAAGGTTTACTCGGCAAACCCTTTTTGTCTAATCTTCAAATATTTGTTCTTTTTTCTTCTCAGGCACTCTCATCTTCTGTCTTTAATTCGTTTCTTTATATTTTTCTTTTTATTTCATTTCTGAGTTTATGGGTCATGACTGTAATCATTTGCTTTTTCCATTGATTTCTTTACTTTCAACAATATATAAGGTTAATTTCACTTTCATATCTACATTATTGTTATTTTTTATATTTTTTTTCCTTAACTATTAATTTCATCTAAATAATCTCTACAAATATTTTTAAGGAAATCTAATCTAATGGGTAAAAAGTTGTTCTATGATTTAAACAATTCAAATCACTCAATTATACATCCACCTTTTTTTACTCCTACTGTAAAAATGGGGTATTTTAATTATTTTTGACATTTTAAAAAAAAAAAGTTTTTTTTTTTTACTATTTAAATTATTTTAATTATCTTTAGCAATGTTGGGCTTTAGTATTTAGGTTATGTATTGAGTCTTAAATGGTGGGTTATAATCTTTATGGGGCTACCCATGTCAGCGTGATTTATCTAAATAATATTTTATAATATACAAATTGAATTAAATTAAATTAACAAACTAATAAATAATTTCTTTTTTATTATTGTTTTTGTTTGGGGTGTGAAACTCTCAGAAGTAGAAAGAGAAGGGGAAGATAGCGCCAACGGTCTATAAATGTCGTGAAAAAGTGGAGTGTGGCGGTTGAGGTTGAAGAAGGGTCTACCTGGTTTTCCGTTTCTCCTATCATCTCATTTTGATCGGTTCAAAACACACTCTCTCTCCTCCTTTCAATTTGGGCTTCTTTCTATTTTTTTTTTTGGGTGGGAGAGAGAAAGTTTACTTCTCCTACTCCTCAATCTCCCAATTCACTATCATTTCAAGGTTTACTCAGCAAACCCTTTTTGTCTAATCTTCAAATATTTGTTTTTTTTTCTTCTCAGGTACTCTCATCTTCTATCTTTAATTCGTTTCTTTATATTTTTCTTTTTATTTCATTTCTGTGTTTATGGGTCTTGACTGTAATCATTTGATTTTTCCATTGGTTTCTTTACTTTCAACAATATATAAGGTTAATTTCACTTTCATATCTACATTATTGTTATTTTTTATATTTTTTTTTCCTTAACTATTAATTTCATCTAAATAATCTCTACAAATATTTTTAAGGAAATCTAATCTAATGGGTAAAAAGTTGTTCTATGATTTAAACAATTTAAATCACTCAATTATACATCCACCTTTTTTTAGTCCTACTGTTAAAATGGGGTATTTTAATTATTTTTGACATTTAAAAAAAAAAAAGTTTTTTTTTTCAAATATTTAAATTATTATAATTATCTTCAGCAATGCTGGGCTTTAGTATTTGGGTTATATATTGGGCCTTAAATGGTGCGGTATAATCTTTATGGGCCTACCCATGACAGCGTGATTTATCTAAATAATATTTTATAATATACAAATTGAATTAAATTAAATTAACAAACTAATAAATAATTTCTTTTTTATTATTGTGTTTGTTTGGGGTGTGAAACTCTCAGAAGCAGAAAGAGGAAGGGAAGATAGCGCCAACGGTCTAGAAATGTCGTGAAAAAGTGGAGTGTGGCAGTTGAGGTTGAAGAAGGGTCTACCTGGTTTTCCGTTTCTCCTATCATCTCATTTTGATTTGTTCAAAATACACTCTCTCTCCTCCTTTCAATTTGGGTTTCTTTCTATTTTTTTTTAGGTAGGAGAGAAAAAATTTACTTCTCCTACTCCTCAATCTCCCAATTCACGATCATTTCAAGGTTTACTCAGCAAACCCGTTTTGTCTAATCTTCAAATATTTGTTCTTTTTTCTTCTTAGGTACTCTTTAATTCGTTTCTTTATATTTTTCTTTTTATTTCATTTCTGAGTTTACGAATCTTGACTGTAATCATTTGCTTTTCCATTGGTTTCTTTACTTTCAACAATATATAAGGTTTATTTCACTTTCATATCTACATTATTGTTATTTTTTATATAATTTTTTTCCTTAACTATTAATTTCATCTAAATAATCTCTACAAATATTTTTAAGGAAATCTAATCTAATGGGTAAAAAGTTGTTCTATGATTTAAACAATTTAAATCACTCAATTATACATCCACCTTTTTTTAGTCCTACTGTTAAAATGGGATATTTTAATTATTTTTGACATTTAAAAAAAAAAGTTTTTTTTTTTTTTTTTTGACTATTTAAATACAAGCGCCACTAGGGCACAAGTAGAAGATAAAAAATTTATACACCCAAAAAAAAAGGTAAAAAATTTGAAGAACATAATACAATTATCGCTAAATTTAATACACTTTTACTAAAATTAATGCATTTTTTAAATAATTTTCCATATTTTCTAGACATTTGCCTTTTAACATTGACAAACAAGGACAACTTAAAACTTTAGGACCAAACTCTTTTTTTTTTTCTTCTTTTTTTTTTTTTTTTCATTTCTCAATTGAAAATATGCATAAAAAAATTGAGTGTTTGGTTATATGATTTAGGTTGTTCAAAATTTGAAATGAGCTTTTTTTTCTTTTTCTTTTCTTCAAATTAGGCTTTGGACAATCATCTTGGACCACATTAGCTGAAATTAAAAATAAAATCAATAATTTAGGTATGAAATAGAAAAAGTGATGATAGGTTTAGGAGAAAAAACAAAATTAACCCACAATATAAATAAATATGTACATCAGCTTGGAAGTCACAAGCATTTTCATTTTCCTTGTAATTTGATTTCCATTTTAGTTATGTCATTCACATGTAAGTGCGCACTCACTAATATTCACATGTAACTATATATTCTCCAGGGATCTTTGTGTTTGATTGCTTTCTTCTGTTTGTCATTCACTTGTCTTGTGTATTGTCTTCACTTTGAGTCCTTCCATTCCTTCTACTCCAAATGCTTACAAACCCCATATTATTTCTGAGAGAAACAGCACTTAAAAAAAAAAAAAAAAAAAAAAACAGTAGAAGCAAACAATAAATAGAGTTGTTGTTTGATTTTTCTCTTTTTCCGTCATGAAATTAATGCCGAAGTTGCGTTTCAAGTCTGCCCTCTATGATAGTCCTTACTTCAATAGCCTTGCAGTTATCATTTATAATTAGCCTTTTGAGATCCAATAAAGTTGTGTTCATGGAGATCACACACACACACAGAAGGCAGTCAAAGCTGTGACAAATGCTATAGAAATTCATTTTGGTTAATGGATTTTTTTTTTTTGGGTTTTTCCAGATACAATTGTTGAATTCCGTTCCCATCCCAATACAATCTTGCTGGATTTTTCTTTGATTGTGTATCTGTAATCATTACTCATCCTTCAAAATGTTTGGATTTTTGAAATCACCTGCCAATAAGGTTTCTAAGCAAAATTCAGTTGACCCTGGATTTCCAGGTTCTTCAACTTCTAACCCTTTTGATTCTGATACTGAATCGAATAACAAGCAAAACCTAGTTGGGAGAAGAACTTCTTCTGAACCTGTGCTCCTTCCTCCAAACTTCAAATCCAACGCTTATGATGACGACGATGATGGTAGAAGGGCATCTTCCAAATCCTCTTCTTCAGCAGCAAGGAACAAAGGCAAGAATAGTTATAGTGACTCAGAAGACTTTGATAGCATGTCAGTGCAAGAATTGGAGAGTTACGCTGTGACTAAGTCTGAGGACACTACAAAGTCTGTAAACAACTGCCTGAAGATTGCTGAGGATATTAGACAGGATGCTACAAGGACCCTTGACACTTTGCATCATCAGGGTGAGCAAATCCATAGGACCCACGTGATGGCCGCTGATATGGACAAGGACTTGCACAAGGTATGCTCATTTTCTTTCACAAACTCTGCTTAAATGATTTCTGAAAAAATCTAGTTCATATGGGAAAATTAATTGTTATGAAGCACGAGTTTGAATCTTTAAATGCCATGTTCATCTAATCATTTCAAATCATTTAGTACTTTTTAAATCTGGAACTTCAATTTAGTAGTTTTAGATCAAATTGATCAAAACTGGCAAAATTGGAACCTCTAGACCCAACTAGTTAATTTGGAAGACCACTTCTTCTAATCTTATTTGAATAATCAGAAAGACAATGCTAAAATCTTACATAAAGTGGACAACGGTGATCTGTCCCTCTCTTGTGCACTTCATTGTGTTTTCGCTTATTTTCACTCTGTTATTCTTATTGTTGTTGTTTCCTGGAGATTTCTGTGTGTATGTGGGTAGCAATTGGAAGCATATTTCATAATTATTCATTGTTAATTTCAGGGAGAGAAACTGTTGAACAATCTTGGAGGCATGTTCGCTATGCCTTGGAAGCCAAAGAAGACGCGGGAAATTTCAGGGCCTGCAAACACAAAAGGTTTCTGCACCCCTCCCTTTCCCACCCCATATACAATATATATGTAGTTGGCCCATTTCTTTTCCAACTAATTTTTTCTTAGCAAATTTTGACGCCACATGTTTGAATCAGAAAGTGAAAAGGAAAATTATAGTCATTTTAAGACAAGAATTATGTAGCAATGGCACTCTTGTGATTATGAACTATAGTGATGGACATTTTGACTTCCAATGAATGGGTATAAATAAGACATCATTCTGTATAGATTTTTTTGTATACAAATTTTGTTCGCGTATCATTACCCAAGTGAAAATACACAATTGCGTTACAATTTGGCCATTTGACCTGTTGATTATTCCCATATTTGATCAACTTTTGTGATTCAACAGATGATTATTTCAAAGGAAAACAAAACAAGGAGCAGAGGGAAAAGTTGGGTTTAGGTCCTCCACCCAAAGGACAGTTGCGTACACCTCCTCCCGAACCAACAAATGCCTTACAGAAAATTGAGGTACGTGCTTATGACCAATAATAATTCAACAAGTAGACTTATGACAAAAATTTACGCTCACTATTCTTCTTTTTGCTTATTCATATGCGGTTATGGAAACCAGGTGGAGAAGATGAAGCAAGATGATTCACTTTCCGATCTAAGCGACATCTTAGGCAATCTGAAGGGTATGGCGGTTGACATGGGAACTGAACTTGAGAAGTGAGTTGTGTTTGTACCTATCCACAATAATAGTTCTTTTATTGCATTAATCTTTGTCACTTCCATTTTAGTTTTCAGTCGAAATCCGAAGATAGTAGCTTAATTAGTTTATGCCTTTGAAATACCTTCGTTTTTTTGCTTGAAAGGCCTGTTATGGAAGTGGTCCTCATTTTGCTTCCATGGATTATTTTTACAAGCCCTTCCGTTGTACAAAACTAAGGCCTTGTTTCAAAAACCCTAAAAAAGCTAAGCCAAAAACCAAAAGCCTATCTGTTTCCGGCTAAAAAAGATGAGGATCTACACAACTTCTCCACTAACAAAGAAGCTATTTTTCAGCTTTTTTAGCACTTACCAAACGCATCAGCTTTCGCGTTTTAGCTAACTGATTTTCTCTTTAACCACGAAAAATGCTTCTATCCTTTTGTTTCATAGTTTTCGTAAGATGACACATTATGTTGTCAGTTGCAAAGATTTTTATCTAATTTTTGGTTGGATAGAGATATTTTGTGTTATCTCCATTTCAGTATTCCTTTGATCTTTTTCTTTTCTTTTCTTTTCTTTTCTTTTCTTTTTAATTTGTTATTGCTGTGTTAATATGTGGTTTTAAGCAATCTGGTGATCCATTCAGGCAGAATAAAGCTCTTGATCATCTTCATGATGATGTGGAAGAACTTAACTCGCGAGTCAAAGGTGCCAATGCACGCACACGTCGTTTGGTTGGCAAGTGACTGAACCTTCACCAAAAATACCAGTTTGTTGATGATTGTCTTACCAATTGATTTTCAGCTTCAATCTTTTTTCCCCAAGTTGAGTTTTATTTATTTTTTATTTTTTGGCATGTAGTGCTTTTACCCTTCAATTGTATACAACCAAGAACAAAAGGTTGTTGTTCTTGCCATTTTTTTGTGAAATGTATGTAAAATCTTTTTTCCTCTACTCAAGTTTTTTTGTTTTTTGGGCATGTGGTACTATTACTCTTCAATTGTATACAACCAAAAATAAAAGACTGTTATCTTACTTTTCTCTCTCTCTCTCTCTCTCTCTCTCTCTCTCTGGCATATGCATAATTTCGCATTGCTGGATGCATAGGGCATAATTATGTGGATAAATATTCTCTGTCATTGTTTTTGTGCAATAATCTTCTTATGTTTTTTTTATCACGGCAGAAAGTACATAATTAACATGTCAGATTTAAAAGGAGAAATTACAATTCAGTGTATCTTTTAAAAAAATTCAAATCAATAGTAAAATTTATAAATATTAATTATTAAAATCACAAAATTTTCATCAATTTGTAAATATTGTGAAAATACCATTGCTGTATAATTTTTCTAATTTAAAATAAAAACTATTAAAATATCGTATATATTTTTAAAACCTCACTCTGTTAAACGATCCTATTTTGTTCTAATTTAAACATAGACTGTTAAATTACGACAATTACAGTGAAATCTCTAACTGAGAATCCTGATCTAACTATGCAGAGATCTTAAGCATTTTCAAGCCCACTTGCATAAAAGTGAGGTCTGGAATTCATATTGTTATACCCAATGTAGTGTGTGTAAATTAAGGGCTGGATTGACATATCTCAAAAAAGTCAAAAAATTATTAAAAAGTTATTACTATTCACCTAAAACAATTAATTTTACAAAAAAAAAAGTACAATTCATGTCATGTGAGTTGTACTTTAGCGGCCAACCGTTTGTACAAAAGGAACAAGCGGAAAAGCAAACAAGACGTTGTTATTTGGACCGTGGGGCCCGACACGAGTCCCATTTTCATAATTTGAACCGTCAATGTGTAGAACTCGTCGAGTAATATATGTCTGTAAAAAATTACGTTGATCGGATATCGCTAACTAAATAATCAAATCAGTTTTCTATAAAAAAAATTGATGGTGTTATAGTTAACGGTTGAAAAAAAAACTACTCCGATCAGAGAGCTATCGATATCCGATTAACGTGATTTTTTACAAGTGTATAGTACTCAACGAGTTCTATATATTGAACGGTTCCGATTAGCAAAACGGGACTCGTGGTGGGCCCCCATGGGTAGGGATGGTAATTTAAACCCAGCCTGATGGGGACCTGACCCCCGAACCCCGATTAGAATGGATTTTCCCCGAAGATTATCCCTATAGGACCGGAGATGATATTAAAAATTAAATCCCCGATGATTTTCGGGCTGGGGATGGTGATAAATTCCCAGCCCCGACCGGGCCCCGAATAGTTCCCAACAGTCCCGTATGTATATATATATATATATATATATATGTTTAAGCTTTATTATCTATGTTTAGGCTATTATATCTTTTTTTTATCAGAAGGCTATTATATCTAATATTTATCAATTCTCAACTCTCTCTGTCACTCTCTCTCTCTGTCTACTCTCAAGTTCTCAACTCTCTCTCTCTCTACTCTCTATGAGAGAGATAAATGAGCACCTTGAGATGAATGAGCACCTTCCAGATTGAAGTCGCGACGAAGAAATCTAGAGAGAGATCGGCGACGGAGAGCTCCTTCTAGATCTGAATCGCGACGAACATTTCTGTCTCGTCTCCAGATCTACAGCCACTATTATGAGATAATATATATATATATATACATACACTAGTTCTCAAGATCTTCACTATATCAACATTATTGATATAGATATAGATATAGGTGTCGTTTGGGAAGAGCTCATTTGGGCTCTTTTGGCTCTTTGAGCCACAAAAGACAGAATAGGCTATTTGAGCCACAACAGACAAAATATCACATCTAACCCATAATCATTACACTCTTCTTTCATAAAAAAAGTCAAAAAAGCCAAAAAATCAAAAAGTCATTCCCAAACCAAGCTTTTGAGCCCAGGCTCAAATAGCCAAAAAAAACCAAAAAGCCAACCCACTTCCCAAGCGGAGGCATAGATATACATTTTGTTGTTGTTGATGTTGATGATGATGATGATGATCATTGATGATGAATTTGTAGACTCTGTTGGTACTGATGATGATGATAGCTGCTGGTTTGCTCTCTTTTTTTTTTTTTTTTTTTTCCCGGGGAATTTACGGGGTCGGGGAAACCCAATCCCCGTTAGAGGGTGGGGGCGGTGACAGAGATAAGTTCCCCGTCGGGGATCGGGGCCGGAGCTGGGGGTATTTTCACCATCGGGGATCAGGGACGGGGAGTGTGGTCCCCGGTCCCGCCCTGCTCCGTCCCGTTGCCATTCCTACCTACGGGCCGAACAGCACCGTCCAATTCAATGCCCAAAAAGGAGGCAAACTTCTCCTATACACTACTCTGCCCAACGTACTACCTACTCTGCCCAAGCTTCTCCTATACACTAATTTATACAATTTTTTAATACACATTTTTTCATAAAAAATCAAAAAGTTATTCCAAACAACCATATTTTTTTCCTTAACTTTTTAGTCCAAAAATTCAAAAAGTGCACTTATTTAGAACACCCCAAACAACCCCTAAATGTATAAATTAAACAAATAATAAAATAAAATAATTCAAAAAATAATTATATAAATTAAATTCTGAATTAAATGCTTACAAAAATTAATGTCAAGGCTTATGTTGAATACAATCTCCTTAAAGTAGATTTTGCCATCACTCCGATACTTTGAGATTTACCGGCGTCTACTTCCCAGGATGCAATGACTAACACTTGAATTTGTAGCACTACAAAATCAAGTTTGGCGGACCAAATTATGTTGTAACTCTCTCTCTTTCTTCTTAAAATTAAATGCAGAATAGATACAGAAAAATACAGAGAAGAATGACGAAATTCTGATAGAAAATTCTTATGCAAGAAATGTTGGAAGGATGGCTTTTTATAGGAGAAATAGTGGCTATTCCGAACACGTAGAAACCTGTTTAGACAAATTGAACAGGTACCTAGACAGATTTAGTTTGAATTGAACAAGTATGACCTGTTCAGGTAGGTATGAACCTGTTCAGGTGGGTCTAAACCCGTTAGGGATCTATTTGGGTGAAGGAAAAATTCTGAACCAATTTATTTGAAATTTTGAAATCAAAATTAAAAATAAATAAATAAATTACAAATATCCCAAAAAGATAAGTATTGGGTCAGATAAGCCCAACCCAACCTCACATAACGCACCCGCAGCCTAGCCCAGCCCATGCCGCTCGACCGGAGGGACGGCGGCACGCGTGTGGTTTTTGTTTTGGGCCCAATGAGTCTAGCCCATTTTACTCATAACCTCACCCTTTTACAAACTTGAGTATCCCTTGGGGCCCATCAAAAGTATCCTAAGTTAGAGTATATAAACCCATTCAAAATCTCAAGCCTTTCTAATGTGGGACAAGCACATTTCACAAATGTATAGGAAACCCACCTAAAGCCATTGTCACGAACCCGAAAACGCACGTTGAATTCTCATTCATCCGGAAATGTTTACCCATAACCTCACCATTTCACAAACTTGGGTACCCCTTGGGGCCCATCCCAAGTATCCCAAGTTAGAGTATATAAACCCATTCAAAATCTCAAGCCTTTCCAATATGGGACAAGCACATTTCACAAATGTGTAGGAAACCCATATAAAGCCATTGCCACGAACTCGAAAACACGTGTTGAATTCTCATTCATCCTAAAATGGTTTTGAGCAACCAAATACACGGTTTTATTTACTACGCGACATTAAACATAAACCCAATGAAAAATGTTAAAAATAACGCTTGGGTCCTACCTTAATTAATGCTCAAAGTTAGCAAAAAATAAGGATTTTTTCAAAACCTCCAAAGCCATTTTCCAACAATCCTCCATATGAATGGAATTTACGATAACGGACATGCAACAAAATGCAGACAAAGAAAGAGTACATTAAGAAGATACATCACATCGAGATAGGTAGCTTTTGGCTTTGAACTTTCTCTAATGAAAACCTATCGGACTTACTGGCTAACCAGTGGACGCGATGCCTTGAGCTGTTCAGCTGTTTATGTAAGCCAAGACAATAGACTACACATAGTGTACCCATAGACATAGTTTGGTTCTTACGGTTGTGTTTATTTTGGCCCTGAACAACGCTTGGTAATTCATGAGTGCTTTAGAGAATTTAGCCTTCTCAATTCTCACAGAACAGGCCCAATTCACACTCATATAGATAAATTCTTATTAAGAATATCCTGCTATACCCCACTTGGATATCCAAGCTATAAGAATCATTAAAAGAAAAGTTTATCGTACTAATGTTGCATGTATCACTCTTCTTATCATAGAAATGGGTAGGAGAAACCCTCTTTAGTGATACGTGAAGTCATCCATAATTCAATTGTCCATTTGAACCTAGATCTTGGGATCTCCAGTTAACTAGGTTGGGTTGCCATTATGGCGACTTTTAAGTAATAGGTTTTAATCTCATTCCCCTCGATAAATAGTACACTTGCTCTTTGGCTAGCCCTTTAGTCAATGGATCCGCAATATTTTCCTTTAACTTTACATATTCTATGGAAATTATTTCATGTGAGAGCAAATGTCTAACGATATTATGTCTTCGACGAATGTGTCGAGACTTACCGTTATACATATGACTTGTGCCCATCCTATTGCTGCTTCACTATCACAGTGAATGCATATAGCTGGCACAGGTTTAGGCCACATTGGAATGTCTTCTAAAAAATTACGAAACCATTCTGCTTCTTCTCCTGTTTTATCTAATGTAATAAACTCAAGTTTCATTGTCGAACTAGCTATGCATGTCTGCTTGAAAGATTTCCAAGAGACTGTAGCACCTTTTAGGGTAAAGACGTATCCACTAGTGGATTTTGAGTCTTTAGCATCCGATATCCAATTTGCATCCCTGTACCCCTCGAGTACTGCTGGATATTTAGTATAATGTAAGCCATTATTCTAGGTATGTCTTAGACACCTAAGTATCCTAATTATCACTTCCCAATGATTGGACCCTATATTACTTATGTACTTA